TTAAAGCTATTCAGACATTAGTCAAGATAAGAATAGGGAAACTGAGGAAAGAAGGCCAATAAAATATGACATCAGGTCCAGTGCCCAGAGGGTACATTTGATCACTTTTAAATAATAACAGAAATGTAACACCAATCAACTGTTCTGCTTGGTCTATACAAACTCTATCTCACAGTCACTAAATAGTTGATGAAGGGAAATTAGTCTTCATAAAAGTAGTGTGACAATTAAATGAAGAAAGAAAGATGAAAATCACAACTTTGAAATTATTAATGAGTAATGATTTGGTAATGATCATCAATTACTGTTAACATCACAGGAAGATAGCTTGTCTCTATTATTCACTGATGAAAGTACATAAAACTACTTATGATGTATTCATAAAAAAACCAAATCTTAATCTAACTTACCTGAATCTGTGAGTACAACTGCCAGTTTACAGTAAATAAAGGAACCATTTGGATATTGTAAAAGGAACTGTAAAAAAATGTATGATAACAATAATACTGATCAGATTTTTGAAAATATTTTAACAGATAGTGAATTTTTAAGTAGTGTAATAGTATTATGATTATACTAAAAGCAATCCTATTTTTGAGATACAGACTGAAATATTTATGAAATGATAAAATATCTGGACTTTTTTTAGTATGGGAGAGAGTTGGAGGAGTTATGTACAAAACAAGTTTGGCATTGAGTTGATAATTGTGAAAGCTGGCTTATATGTAAAAGAGAATTTATTAAAATTTTATCAAATTGTCTGTTAGAAAGTTTTGATAACACTGAGTTAAAACAAAGAAAGGGAGGAAAGGTTGCAGTGAAATGAATGAGTAGAAGAAATATGAAAGTTAAGGTAATTATTTTATATGTTTTGCCAGTGAAGAAATGGTAAAGTAAAGTAGGCTAGTAAAGATAAGCAACGTCTACTGATGAATCATTATATGGTGGGCACTATTTTCATTTGCTCTCTATGTAATCTTAAATTATCATAACAGTTGTATTATTTTCTCATTTAATACTGAATGCAGGGTGATTAAATGGCTTCCCTGAGTTCACACAACTACTAAGTGACCGAACAAGATTTGCCATGTTAGATGCAGACACCAGTGCTGTGTGTTTCCTCATGTGGATGGGGAGGATGAGGTGCAGGGAGCACAGAGGCTGTGAACTAAGAATATTCAAGTCCAGGAACAATTGACCAAATAAATCCCAAAGCAGGCAGGAAAGCTTCATCTGGAACTCAGAGGCAGGAGGGTTAACTTTAAAAGAGAGAAGAGATATATTACTGAGCTACGTGACCTGAGGAAAGTCACTTAGCTTTTCATAGTCTTCATTTTTAACTCTGTTCCAAAACAAATAAATAAGTAGAACAGAATAAATGTCTGACTCATAGGACTGCTACAAAGATTGAATAAAAGCTTTTACTTTCTGGAAACTTAAGACCACTAAGAAACTTCAAATTGAAATTAATAACCTCAACATATTATTTTTCATAATAAACTTAAAAAAATTAGAGGGATGATTTAAGAACTAATAATTCTAGTTGTGAAAACACATTTATCTGTAGTTCAATATTTCTGCCAGCTTCATTCTAATTTATTATTTTTTTTGCCTGCCAAATTCAAGTAGAATTAGATATAAAATTTCATATAAAACGTTATTTGAATGGCTACTCTGTATTTTCTAAGTATCAACTTATTTTACTTTTGGTAACTATTTGGTAGTAAATCACAGGTAGACTTCAAAGTTTCATAAATGTAGTTCAAATATTATATCTGGAAATAAATACTAATTATTGATCGCAATTTTCTGCATTTATAGTTGAGAAAACTGACATATGTTAGAAAGATATTGAATTAGATTATGCTGCTACTAAGTGAAAGGATTGCAAATGAGGAAGATTATTTTTAACCCTGAAGTTTGGCTTATTTTAAAACCAAATATGTTAGAAATATAATCAGTCAGACTCTGTTTCCCACCCACTGTTTACACTTTGCTTTCTGAAAATGTGTGCATCATTTTTTCTCATTAACGTTCAGTCCCGGCATCTATTAAATTCGAAGTCTGACCTGAATGATTCCATTATGTAGACAGCAGGGTCAGCTGTGGAGTGAGAGCAGTGTACAGGCCTACCTTGTTTTGTTCTGCTTCTCTTCATTGCACAATGCAGATGTCTTGTTTTTTATAAACTGAAGGTTTGTGGCAACCCTGTGTTGAGCAAGTCTATAGATACCATTTTCCCAACAGCTTTTGTTCACTTTGTGTCTCTGTTTCACGTTTTGGTGATTCTCACTAATTTCACACTTGCTTATCTTTAATACCTCTTGTGGTGAACTGTGATCTTGATCTCTGATTTTACTTTTGTAAATGTTTTGTGGTGCTACAAACCACACCCACAAAAGACCCTAGTTGAGAAATGCGTGTGTTCTGACTGCTCTGCTGACTGGCCATTACCTCAACTCAGGCCTCCCTGTGTCCTGAGGTACAACAATATTGAAATTAGGCCAATGAATAACCCTAAAGTGGCCTCTAAAAGTTCAAGTGAAGGGATGAGTCACAAATCTCTCCCTTTAAATGGAAAGCTAGAAATAACTAAGCTTAGTGAGGAAGGCATGTTGAAAGCCAAGACAGGCCTAAAGCTGGGCCTCTCGTGTTAGTTCGCCAAGCTGAGGGTGCAAAGGGAAAGTTCTTGAAGGCAGTTAAGAGTGCTGCTAGTCCAGTGAACACACAAATGATGAAATGGAACAGCCTTATTTCTGATAAGGAGAAATTCTGAGTGGTCTGGATAGATCAAACCAGCCACAATACTCCCTTCAGCCAAAGCCTAATCCAGAGCAAGGCCCTCACTCTCTTTAAGTTTGAAGGCTGAGAGAGCTGAGGAAGCTGCAGAAGAAAAGTCTGAAGCTAGCAGAGTCTGGTTCATGAAGTTTAATGAAAGAAGCCATCTCCATAATGTTAAAGTGCAGGTGAGGCAGCATGTGCTGATGCAGAAGCTACAGCAAGGTATCCAGATGATCAGGCTAAGCTAATGAATGAAGGTGGATGCACTCACTAGATTTTCAGTGTAGGCAAACCACCCTCATACACACTTAAATTGGGAAAAAATGCCATCTAGGACTTTCACAGTGAGAGAGGAGAAATCAATGCCTGGGTTCAAAGCTTCAAAGGACAGGCTGACCCTCTTGTTGGTGTCTAATGCCATTTGTAACTCAGTGGAAGCCAATGTTCATTTCCAAGTTTGAAAATTCTAGGGCCTTGAAGAATTATGCTAAATCTATTCTGCTGGTGCTCTATACATGGGACAAAGCCTGAATGACAGCACAAGTTTACAACATGATTTAGTGAATATTTTAAGCTCACTGTTGAGACCCATACCTCAGAAAAATGATTCCTTTCAAAATAATACTGTTCATTAACAATGCACTTGGTCACCCAAGAGCTCTGCTGGGGATGTAGAGTGAGACTAATACTGTTTTCATGCCTATTAATACCACATCCATTCCAAAGCCCATGGACCAAGGAGTAATTCTGATTTTCAAATCTTATTATTTAAAAAATACATTTCATTGCTATGATAGTGATTCCACTGATGGATCTGGGCAAAGTAAACTGAAAATTTTCTGGAAAGGATTCACCAGTCAGATGCCATTAAGAACATTCGTGATTCCTGGGAAGAGGTCAAAATATCAACATTCACAGGAGTTTGAAAGAAGTTGATCTCAATCCTCATAGATGACTTTGCGGGGCTCCAGACTTCAGTAGAGGAAGTCACTGCAGCTGTGGCGGAAACAGCACGAGAACTAGAATTGGAGGTGGAGCCTGAAGAAGTGACTGAATTGGGGCATCTGATTATGACTTGAATGGAGGAGGACTTGCTTCTTGTGGATGAACAAGGAAAGTGGTTTCTTGGGGTGGAACCTACTCCTGATGAAGATTGAAGACTGATTGATGACAAAAGATTTAGAACATGACATAAACTCAGAAAGGTTTGAGAGGATTGACTCCAATTCTGAAATACATCCTGCTGTGTATAAAATACTATCAAACAGCATCACATGCTACAGAGAAATGAAAGGAAGAATCAGTAGATGCAGAAAATTCCATTGTTATCTTATTTTAAGAAGTTGCCACAGCCACCCCAACCTTCAGCAACCATCCCTCTAATCAGTCAACAGCCTTCAACACCGAGGCAACTGAAAGCTGCAAATATGATTCACTGAAAGTTCAGATAATGATTAGCATTTTTTAGCAATAAAGTATTTTAATTAAGGTATGTACATTGGTTTTCCTGACAATAATGCTCCTGCCTACTTAATAGCCTGCAGTATAGTATAAACATAACATAACATTTTCTTCACACTGAGAAACCAAAAAGTTCATTTGACTTGCTTTATTATAATGGTCACCTTATTGGTGGTCTGGAACTGAAACATTAATGTCTCTGATGTATGCCTATAGTGGTTTGATCTGAAATAAACTATATAATGTATCTCAAATGTAAGAGTGAAAAATTGTAATACAGAATAGTGCACTCTTATTAAATGTTGAATTTTGAACCACCACTCATTTCTCCCTCCTACCTTGTCAAGAGTGCCTAAAGAATTGGGGGGAAAATTCCTTTTACATAGAATCTTTACCTCCATGGCAAAGCAAGGGTAAGAACAGTCTACTCAGGGCCAAACAACTCAGCGTCTCCACTAAATATTAAATGATATCCCTTGTAATAGTGATTTTATGCATAAGTAAAGGAGTTATGGATTATTTCTCTACACATGGTGATGTCAGTAAGGTGAACATGAAAAAATACAAATATGATGCACTGCCTTAAATACAGCAGGTTGTTTTGTGTGCTCTTTATAAAAGGAGACCCATATGATACAATGTGCACAGAAGAGGGGCACTTGTGCTTAATGACATTCTTTTAAGAATGCAACTCCTCTACCAGACTTTTGAGGGAGGGTCAAACATGACAACTGGATTAACTGTATTCCAAAGGTTTTTTTATTTTCTGAAAAAATATAAAATTTCATATCTTACACTACAAAAACAAGTACACGAGCCAAATGCACATAGAGATTCAAATGGAGGAAAAATACATAAATGCTAATGTTTCCTTGAATTAATGCTGAGTTTACTATTATATTGTGTTTACTATTATATTTACTAATAACAGTTTACTATTATACTTGGCATTCTTCTTAGTTTTATAAAGAACACAATGAGGAAAATGATATTATTCTACTACACAATATCTTAATACATGTAGTATATTTTTGACATCTGACTCAAAAAGCACTCCATAAGATGATGCTTGGCAGTGAGAAGATGACCAGCTAATACCAGTCGTCAAAAAGTCTTTTTTTGCATATGGTAGAGTTTTCAAGTAATCAAGTAATGTATTACACTGTCACAAACCAGTTCTAATTAGGTCCCACATAATTATGCTCATGTCCTATAATCTGTGTCAAACTCTAGTTGCAAAAATATTCCAATGCAAAGATTCATGAATATGTTTTTGAGGAAAATGGTTGATTAAAATGCTGATTGCATTTTAATATTTAGCATAGGAAACCAAACATTTTTATTAGAACTAACTGAAATCATTATACAAAACCTTTAAGTTTAAAGACTTTTGAGAGAGGGTCAAACATGACAATTAGATTAACTGTATACCAAGAGTTTTTTTATTTTCTGAAAAAATATAAAATTTCATATCTTACACTACAAAAACATGTACACGAGCCAAATGCACATAGAGCTTCAAATGGGGGAAAATACATAAATGCTAATGTTTCCTCAAATTAATGTTGAGGCAGGGACTTGAGATACCCTAAAGCCTAGCATAGAATAAGATATGCAACACAGGTGCTTCTGACCTGCCTGAAACTAAGAAATTTTAATAAGCATATTAATAAACGACTGAGTCTAACTTTTATTCTGATGGTTATATATGAAATTTACACACTTTTAAATAATTGTAAAACTAAACCAGTTTAAAGATTCACAAATATGTTGACCACTAAAATTTATGCTGTTAATATAGCCCAGCCTGAATAAAATGATATATTTGCCACCTTAAGTTTTTTTCATTTACACTTAGAAGAAACAAATGACATTTGATTCTGATTATTATAAATAGACTTTTGAAAAAAAATCATTGTCTCTCCTAAGTAATAATTACATGGTCATTCTGAACAAGAGCATTCATTCATTTATATGTAAGAAGACTTTTTCATAAATCAACAAGAAATGAAAAGAAAGTTCTTATGTGTTTCTCCTTTGATACATTACTATGTAATTAACAGCATAATAGAGAAAAATATTCAATGAAACCAGCTGTGTTACAGAGTTGAAAAAATGATGACTTATTCTAGCTATTAATTTCAAATAAAACCAGCGTTTTGATTGTTCATTCACTATCATCATCATCATCTTATTGTACCTACTTTTTCTTTTTACTTTGACATTAAACATCTGGCAGGACATAAGCAAAGACAGTTTACTATTATACTTGCATTCTTCTCATTTTTAGAAAGAACACAATGAGGAAAGGATGTTATTCTACTATGCAATATCATACATCCAGTAAATTTCTGACATCTGACTCAAAAAGCATTCACCATCCATTGCACAATTACAGCAAAAAATGTCTCTCACTGGTAAATAACTCTACTTGTGCTTCTGAGAATCCACTTTTAATGGGAGAAACAATGGTGTTAAAAATCTTTGACTTTCCCATAAAATTAAATGGCAGACATGTTAAGACCCAAGTGTTCAACTGATATTAATTTTTCATTTTAATCTTGAGATGTGAAACTCTTCACTATTGTGCACTGGTTAAAACTCTCAAAGACTGAATGAAGTATATTTTGTATTGTTTAGGCAACTCTGAAATGAGTCATGCTAGCTACATTTAAGTTTGAATAGAATATTGGAATATAATTTTTATCGTAATCCTACAACTTCAGAACACTACCTTGGGGTGATTAAAAAACAAGAAATAAAAGACCATGCATATTAACTTTGTTTTTTTTTCTAAATGGGAAAATCAATATTTTTACATTTTTACATACAATTCATACATTTCAGTGGCCAAGAACAACTGACTTTATGTCATTTTCACATGTGAGCAAATGGAAAGATTAGGAAACAGATTATTATTGATAAAAGTAGCAAATTGAGTGACTTCAAAAGGTATCAGAAAGTTGCAATTTACTCCGTGCTTGTACCTATTTTTCAAAGTTCAACGATGAGAAAGATTCATGCCCTTAAGGTATTGCTACTAATCGTTACGATAACATTAGGTATTATTTGATAAATCTATCTTATGTGCTGAAATTATTGAAACTACGGTTCACTTTTGGTTGTCTGGTGCGTGAAAAAGGGAGCCAAAAGCGTAAGAAATCACACAATCAAGATTTGTCAATTGCCCTGGGTTATTGCCTCAGTGCATTTTACAAAAGCTGCTGCCTCTCCTTGTTCCACTTTTCACATTTATAGATAAGATTGGCACTTCGAAATTGGTGACATATCCAGTGGTGAGCAAATATTTAGAAAGGAATTCTTTCCTCTTTTGTGGTGGAGTTGGGAGCTGCATCTTATTTGCAAGTCTTTTATATCTTCTAAAATCATGTTGACATTCCTTAGAAATTCTCAGCGAAAGTGAGATATGGATGACATCTATGTGTGTATTTAATTTTGATCTCAATTTACTTTCCAAAACGAACACCAAGATCACAAAGGAAACAAATAAAATTGATACACATTAATTTATAATGTTCTGTGAAAAAGAGGAAATCTACGTTGTAACCTCAAAGGCTTATCACTTAGCTGTACTCTATCATGATCTCCCAATTATCTTTGAACATATACAGTGGAAGACAATTCAGAAAATATCTTTGTTATGTGTAAGTAATTTGGCTCGTTCCATCAGCTCTAAAATTTATGGTAGTTTCTCTTCTAAATAAATGCCTTTTCTTAATTTGAAGTTTCTCAATTGTTACTTTATCATTTAGATTCAGTTATTTTTACAAAATTCAATAAAATGCAACACATTCAAATTATCTTGTACAAAAGGAATTAGTTTAATTTTTAATTTAATGTTTCTTAAAATTAACAAATTAGTTTTGGTGTTGCCTGTTTGTGATTTTATCAAGACAATGTTAAACCCATCTTGCTCTTTTTCTCAGGCAATTTCACTAACATAACAGAGTATACTTGAAGCACAGTTTGTGTGGACTCATGGTACCCAATAAGGTATTACAGCCCTAACTGGACACAACTCAAAATACCATTTGAAAATTATTTAGAACTTTTTCTTTTCCTTCTTTCTTTTCTTTTTCTTTTTTTGCTATGTTCTTTAGCAAAGAGTAACTTTACTGCTTTAGTGAAAGGTGGGCACAGTAGAAAGAATTTATTTCTCGAAATTATTCTTGTATGTCTTAACATTCAACTAAAACAGGTGCTTGGGAAAGACAGAGAGAGTACCATTAATATAGTGCAGGTATATTTCCTATGGATTTCATTAATCCAGGCTTCTCCAATATACTGCTGCCATTGATAATTATGAGTAGACTATATTTTGTTTAAATGCCGTGCTCCTTTGAATAATTGCATGTCATTCCATGATTTTTACTAAGTGTAATCCTAAAAAAATTGGTATTTTACCCAGGAGCTCAGTTTTGGTCAAGTTCTAATAAATTGAATAATTTGTACCATAAATGTCAGTCGTCACCAAGTGTGTTGTATATCTACCAAGGGTAAGGGAGAGGAGAGGTGCTGGCTTGCCTTTGCTCCCTAGCCTCCTGTGGTTCAAGATTCCTGTCCCAAGGTCTTCTCCCTTCTGTGCACCCTGCCCTAAATGCTTTCTGGAACAATAGCCCCTCTGGGCGCAGCGGGAGGAAGCCAAAAAAGAAAGAAAAAAACCAACTAAGTGTGATATATATATTATATTCCTTAATAAGGCCAATTAAATAATACTTCCAACTGGTTTATCAAAACAAATTCAATTCAATGTAACTGAATACAAGATAAAAGTGCCAAATGAATGAACGGCCTTCAACAAACAAAACTTAAGTCTTGAAATAGAGAAAATTCTGAAGGAAACAAATACATATTCGTCATCATTCCATTACTGCCTTAGTATCAAAATTTCTGGAGCTGACCCACAAGGGAAATAGTTACAAAGGATTAACACTTAGGGGTAATGCTTAGTGCTATGTGCCTGGATTTAACAACATTAACAGAAGCCTGCCCAGTTAAATCCTTCTACATCCTGCTGAAAATGTGCCCTTCGGTGTCAGCCTCGCTTGACAAGATATTTTCTGGGACTCAGAAAGGTGACATTTCTTACAGGGGTGCAAGATTAATGGCTAGAAGAACTGTATTGCCATAGATACCACAAAGTGTTTTTAAAAAGCCAAAGGGGATTTAACCGTATAGACATTTCCTCCTAGTGAATAAAGAGATTTAGAAGCTTTTGGACACAGAGAGGAAAAAAGGACACAAGCTTTGTTAAATTTTGTTTTACTGCTTCTCTATTTCTCCTATTCATATTACACTCTGGAACACTTGCTCCGGTATGTTGCTAAAATTAAAGCACCATTAAAAATGCAAGCAGAATGGTAATATACACATGTGCAAACACACACCCACAAAACTCCAACTTAAATTGATTCCTGGGTATATAGCAAATTATACAATATATACACAATTATTACCTAATAGCTTCTGGAAGAGCAGCTAAAAGTAAATTTTATAACAAAGAAAAGTAAATATACACCCTGTATTGTACCTGTCCTCAATCAAGCAACATGTCTATACACTAGTTTCTATAACTTAATGCTGTGTAACAGCATTTTAAAATTACAAAAGAAGATATCCATTAAGAAATTATCTAACCATATTGCTCTTCAATACACTTATGTAGACAATTAAGACTTGAAGTAAACTTCAGTAAATTGCAGCTTTTATTAGCTCACAAATGGCTATAAAATGTTTCCTTTCAAGTAGATTCTTGGAAGTTTTGAAAGGGGCTGCCTTAAATCAGTCTATAAAGGTGCAATATATAGCTATATATTTCATTTATAAAATTTTGTAGAAGTGGTAGGAAAGATTTTGTTGTTGTACATAATGTTTAACCTCATGTTCTTATTCCATGCAGGTTATATTTGTTTCATGAAAAATGAAGACACTGGGAGGAAGATAAGGAGGTTTTAGTAAAACACTGATTACAAATTCTGTGGCTGAAACAAATGCTCTCCTAAGGTTTAGAGATTACTGTGTTCCCTTTTTCCTTTTTTTTTTTTTTGTTAAAATAAATCTCAGGGCTTGTTTACAAAGTGCAGAATCATTCACTTGACGAAATGACATTAAAATGATGTTATAAGGGCACCATCCCATTTACCAGCTGCACCTTCACTTCCTGAAGGCTGTTCATGATCTTCTTCTGGTGACCGACAAGAGTCACTCCAAGCCGTCTCAAATCCCTGCATGAAGAAAGCACACATTGGGTGTATGTATTGATTCAATTGGTATCACACCTCAATATTTCAGGCTGGCAAAGAGGCAAACATTTTGCAGGAACTAATAGATTACAGTCCCATTTAGACATGTTGGGTCCAATTTTCAAAGTCAGGCTCCAAAATTGTACCTTGAAAACATGTTTGCAGTCAAAGCAATATTTATAATGAGGAATGATATAATATATATTTGCCCCCTTTTTTGGATATCATTATTTTTGTGGCACAGAGTGGTAAATAACCAATTTGCACATGCTTGTGAATAAAGATTTAAATTAAAGGTACAATTTAATTGACCAGTTTTGAAAATGTGAACCTACAATATGAACAAGCAGTTTTTTTTTTTTTTTTGGCCAAAAGAAGTAAGCATAAAACATACTTGCAAAATTTCAAAGCTAAGCAGTAGATTACCAAACTCTTCAAATGACTTGTGAGTACAATACTTTTATATAACGGATATCTTTTAGGATATAATCATCACTCCATAGATCTGATAACACTTCTACATATTTTACTTCTTACTTGTAACCCTAACTACCAGAACATTGTTGCTTTAGCAAATAACATCTTGGCTCTATTGGCATTTAAAGCATTCTGAAGATTACACACTACCAGGGAGTATTTTCAACCCAGGTGTATTCATATTGTTTCTTTTAAACAAACTTATTATTCAAAAGAAAATTATAAATGTTTAGATTTCTAAACTAACAGCATATAATGAAGCTGAAGGCCAGTGCCCCAGGTTTGTAAATGTTATTTCATAGGATATTCAAGAATTCTATTCCCCCTATTATTTGTATTTGTCAAAAAAAATGATTCAGGTATGTTTGGCAAATGATAGCATTAAGTATAACAACAACAACAAAAAAGAATAATTAAGATTTTTAAATGACAAAGCTGTTAAATTTCATTATATAATAATTTTATTGTATACATTATGCTAAATTAATATTTTTGTATTCAGTAAATATATTTCAGACTTAACAGTTTTATAGAACTGGTTACAATCATTATATATGAAATTGAATGGTTTTGAAAACTAAAATCTTAATTATCAGAAGACAGAAATTAAATAAATGGATATTTAGGCTCTATATATTAGTACTGGAAATAATTATTTAAACAATATCTTAGGTTTCTGTTCCTCTTTTTTTTATTTCTTAGGCAATTTTTAGCAAATAGCAAATAACTAAAAAAGAAGCAACTGATATTTATGGTGGAAACATTTCATTTTTAGAATGTGAATATTCAACATTAAACTTAGAAATTATTATAGCTGCAAGATACCAGTGTACAATATAAAAATAATAATAATGGTAGGTGTGGAAGACGATCGTGAGTAAAACATAGAAATCAATAAAAGTTCACTTTGAAACAAAATCACCATTGTTAGTTATGAAATAATCTATAAAATAGCTAGTTACAAGCTAACATAGGAATACAGGAGGCTTGAGTTTAATCTTGTCTCTGTTCACCTAAATCAGTTTCCCAGCCTGGCCCCTGTTCACATTATGGATTGGGTAAACCTTTGGTGTAGGTGTCATCCTGCGCGCCAGTAGGGCAGCCAGCCGCACCGCCGCCCTCCACCCACTGAATGCCAGCCGTTGCACCACCAATGGCCCCTCCTCGTGACAAGACAAAATGTCTCCAGACACTGCCAAATGTCCCCTGAGTGGCAAAACCTCCCGTGGTTGAGAACCATTGCATTTAACATTAAACAGAGTACGTGACAATTTATGTGGTCTCCCCCTAGATGCTAGGAAAATATATAATAACCCTAGGATACAGATTTTTTTTCGTCTCCTTTATGGATGAGGAAACATAGTCTTAGACGATTTAAATCACTTAGCTACATAACACAGCAGGTGGGTAGCAGAGATAGGACTTAAACCTGGAACCTGACACCAAAGTCCATACTCTTAATTTTTCATCACTCTGAGATAGGATTTTAAGTAAAGTACTTCAAATTACATGCAATCATTTATTGATCTCTCTGTAAAATGGGAACTCTGTAGATAGAACATCAAATATTCAAAATTCTAAAAGAAGGAAACAGAACACATCTTTGAGGCTATGGTAGCTCAACTTATAATATTTCATGGCAAATTCAGTTATGGACTAACAAATATCCTCATATTTCCACATGTAATTTATGAATCGTGAAGAATTGTGTAGGTTTGGGCATTAAGGAGTACACAGTACCATACCTTGGACCTAAGTCAAGAGAAAAGGAACCAAAATGTTTTAACCTGAAAATAACCAATTTCTACTAGAGAATTTAAATAATTAGTAATTGAAATGAAGTTTAAAAAGATGTTTTATCATATGCTTTATAAACCTACAGGTGATTCTGACATATCCAGTTTGAAAGTACTGATGAAATATATATATATATGTACTTGCATAATTCATATGGCCAATCCAATTAATAGGAATGAGCTTTTGAATATAATCATCATAGTAGATTCTGAAATATCTGGAAAAAAATAGAATTTATGGGTTTTCCCATTCAAACAACATGGACTTTGAATATGTAATACCAAAGCCTTAATTTGAAGTGTGTTTGTACATGTGTGTGAGTCTGTGTGTGTGTTCCATATTCTAACTCGTTATTTTGTCTAGCAGATATAAGATATTTTACTTAACTTTTTAAATTTTTAAATTTTCACTGTCTTAACTTATTGTTAAATTAATTCTCTGAAAATAACTTGACCACAAGACAGACTCTGGTTCAATGTTTGGGAATTAAAATTTTTCATGACATCTATGTCATGCTAAAGAATGAATACTTTGAGGATTTCCATTAATTAACAAATGTAGTTATAGAGTTTGTTTTTATAGCCAAATAAAATCTGTCTTCAGAAAATTCCTACATCTAGATTTTAATTTAAATTCGTTTAAATTTTCCCAGTGAACTAAGCATATAATTTTATTTTAAGGTCAACTTGTGATCTGATTATCTGCTAAGATGCATACAGAAGGTCAGACCACTCAAATTCTCTCTCCTTCTAACCTCCCACTTTACTCTCCTCTTTCCATGGGAGAAATGGTGTTATAAAAACACAGCATTGCATTTTACGTAATTGCATAAATTGTATGTCTTTAATGGAGTGTTGTTGTTTTAAAAATCTGACCTGTCATTTCAAAAAATGGTCAAATTAATGTGCAGAAATTTAGAAAATAGCATGATTGTAATGTATGCAAATGTACATATACCTTTATACAATGTAATTTTTAGTGAAAAGTGGGGAAGAAATTTATGCAAGTTGAAATTGTTCTCAGCAACAAACTAGGTTATTTTCTAATGATATTACAAATTTTCTAATGATACACAAATGATATAAATGAATTAAAACGGTATTAGAGAAATGTTTTTATTAAGGCTTAAATAACTTTATTCCAATATTGGTAGATGCATTAAAGTATTTTAAATAGTTTTAACTCACATTTGTCATTTCTAACAATTCCCATTTTACTCCTTAAAGTATTTATTAAATTTTCAATTTAGCAGTGATAATGAGAGATATTTGATAAAAATTAATGTATTTTACATTTAATGATGAGGCTGCTGCTCTATTTATAATGATTTTGAAAAAAATTGGAAATAATACAAGACATGCTTTTTTACTCATTTCATTTTTCTATGTAGAAAATTTTATAGTTAGGCAAAGATTTAGGTGTGCCCCATTTATAAATATTATACTAATTGTACCATGACGACATCTAATATTAAGTAATACCCAAGGCCAATTCTAATGATGAAAACTGTTTTTTTAGTATAGACTTATGAATTTAAACATGATGAGCATAGCATTGTTACATAAAAAATATTTTGGATTTTTGTCAACAAAGCATGATTAGTTTTAGAAAAACTACAAAAAAAATGGATTACCATTGTTGCGTTTACATTCCAGCATTTTTTCAAATGCTCTTCTACCATATTAAACAATGGAAAGAACTGATAGTATGAGACTAAAATGGCAGAATGAAAAATAGGGAACAAGAGGTGTCTAGTTGATGTTGGAGCAACTCTTGGTTATTCAGGATTTAATTCATCCCTTTGTGGATGAGTCATTCCCTACTCATTCTTCTCCCTTCTGCTTTACATGCCTTTTAACCACATTGCTGGTACCCAGCCCACCAGCATTGGCTGGATAGGAGAAGGGAGAAGAGAGATATATTAATAGTCACTAAATTTCAGTGTTTATTCTTTATGTCTTAGTTTGATTATACAGTTGTATGTTTGGAAATTTTTGGTTCATTTAGAGGAATCTTGATAATCATTTATATGTCTACTATGGAGGATAAATATATTTACATTTGGCAAGAGAAGACGAACCGTGGCTGGATCATGATTTTCAATGGGTAAGACATTTTGAGGGTCAGACAAGAAGCTTTAGCTTAGCGCTGAAGAACACAGAGGCTAGTAAATATCTTTTAAGTGTATAATAAATTATGCATAATGACTTTATTAAGAAATCTGTTTGAATTAGTGTGCACAAATTTTGGCCCTAGATTTGTGATATTTTCATTTTAGTAGTTAAGACCCTATTTTAATAAATGATACTAATGGGAACCTCTTCAGCTTACATGTAATTGGTATAATAATCAAATTCATTGAATTTTGGTCATTTTCTGAATAATCAAAAGTTGACAGTATTGCTCTGCCAAGAACTTTAAAGAGTAGCCATAATACTGCCCTTCATGCAAATCTTTGGATTCAATTTTTACTCACCTCAAGCACACACTCTTCCCTGCTGACCATAACCCATTGCACTTACACACCATAGGACAAATTGCACTCTAATATGAGGACTGTACACATAATAGCAATATTTAGGCACAGAGGACATACAAAAATGTCTAAGGTTGAAAGCCACTTTCATTGAACATGTTTTAACTCTAAGATCTCTAAGCTTTTCATTTCCTTTCCACATTAGGCCATAGATGCATGTGCTGGCATAAAACCCATAAACAAATAAAATCAAATCTTTAATGAAGGACATTTTTACTGAAGTGTGTGGCTCCAAAAAATTGTAAATTTTTACTCTTCCTTTTTCTAAACCCACTATGAGAACAAATTTGATGGTACAAATTGTACCATATTTTTCTAATTTAAGTGTATAGCAGTTGAATCTTTTGCTTTGTACTGATTTTAAACTTTTGCCTCTAAGCACTTATTATATGAATGTATTTTTCCAGTTCTCAGTTTCTATTATGCCTTGGCATTAACACTGATGATAATAGTTTATTATTGTATTATACAGGCTCCATCAAATTAGTATTCAGATATTGAGTAAAGACCGTGTGTAAAAATCATCATGTAAGTGTTTTAAGAGCTTGTGTTTGCCTTTGTGAACATCCCAGCTCCTTTGCTGTATGGCCTTAATAATGACTGACTTTTTATGGTGAAGGACAAGTAAAATGCACATAATAATCATTTTCTTATATTCCTGACCAAAAAGTAACTGATTGCTTACTGCTTTGTGAGTTATTTAAACAGTATTTTGAAAAATATGTTCTTACTAAATTGAAAAAATGTGGTCAAAAGCACAATAAACAAGAGGAGGACATATATTTAAAGGTGCTGGACTCTTTACAAAATCAGCTTCACTTGAGTTAAGGTTTTCTGACTCAGCTCCTAGTAAGGAATGTGTACTTGACCCAGGAATCTGAAGCAATTGACCAATGGAGACCAACATCTCTGAACAGGAAGATATTGATAAGCTTTCTAATTTTACCCTGTTCTGCTGGTAAGAAGAATGAATTAAAAGGCAAAATACCTGAAAGGAGGCAGTAAGAAATAAGCAACAAGCTTCCAAGGTAGTAGAGACAGAGAGAAGAAAGTGAACTGAAAAGATAAAAATTGGCCCCACAAAAATTACTGGAGACTAGAGACGAAGTGGAGAACCATAATAAGAAGATAGAAGAAAGCTACCAGGGATTGAAAGAAAACATACAAAATGAAGAGTTTGGGGGAAAAAAGGCATATAAGAAAAGAAAAAGAGTTAGAACAAATAAGAAAAAGTAAAACCATATTGCTAAAATATTCAACATACTTGTGGTGTTTTGAGGCCCCAAAGAGATTAAGTAGAACTGAAGTAGTTAATGCAAAAAACCATTATGTGATTATAACTATTATGTGAGGGGGAGAAGCAAAAAGGTAGTGGATGTAAATATATATATATATATATATGCATGTATATGTGCTATTTTAATAAAAAAAGAGACATTGTTTAATGCAAATAATTTTATTATATATTTACAAGTAATCTGACATTGGGTAGAAATACCTACAGTATCATTTTAATATAAAATGACAAATGACTTTAATAAATTAAAATGACCATTTTTACTGAAAAATTAAATAGCAATCATGTAAAAATAGTTTTAAATTATCAATAAAATTTTGTTTCCTATTTTAAATATAGCACAAATTAGTTCTTTGAATGTCCAAAGAAATAATGGGTAAAGTATAAGTGTCATCAAATACACATGATTTGGTGGTGATGGTGAAAATGAGATTCAATAAATTAAGAGAGCAAGCAGAGGGTGATTTTTTATTTATAAATATGAGGGAAGAGAAATGCTGAGAATGTGACATTAACTGGTGATAAATGATGGTACCCTGTTACCTTTTGTGTGTATGGGCAGTGAATTCAATGAATCAAGAATGTCAGAATAATAGAAATAGTGAGAGAGAAAAGTTCAGTGTTCATATTATGGAAAGTAATGGAATAAAGACTGTGGTTTAGTGCTTTAAAATGTTATTCTATGTTCTAATCCTTACAACAATATTTTAACCTTTGAATTTGTAGGTAAGTTGAAGCAAGTTATCACTCTATTCACAGGTTAAAACATCATTCATGTTAATGTAATTGAGATGGAACCATCAGAACGACAGTTAATTTTCACAAATAACAAATATTAGGCTAAAATAATCACACATACAGAGTATATAATAAAATACAAACAACTTACAATCTTAAATATCTTAATATTTAACTCTAATGATTTTTATTTAATAAAATCTGATAAATTTTACCTTAAACGTGCAAACAGAAAAGGGCACAATTGGTTCCACTGAGATTGTACCAAAGAACGAATCAGAGGCAGGATCTGATATATCCTTGGACTACAAGAATATAAGCTGAACCATGTAGAGATTCAGTGAGATTCCTGCCTGGGAAGCTTTGTTTAAGTTGCCGTTACTCAGATATTCATCACAGCCAAAATTTAGGAATATGTTTTATTATTATGTAGGACTAGTCACACCAATTGTGCTTACAGTTTGTTTTGGAATTACATTCATATAACATAGGTACCAGTATAAAAACTTTGTCAAGAAAACATCTCTTCCACAACACAAAATACCAGTATTTTGCCAAAGATCTGTTATTCTAATTATTCAAATATTTAAATGCTATTTGAAACAAAGAAGCAAACATACTGGCCACAAGTTGCATAACCATGCAGTTGTTAACAATACAGGCTAAAAAAGAAGTGCTTCTTTGAAAGCTGCCACACTGGACAAAGGTTAAATGATTTCCCTTGACCTTATCCAGACAGGGTAAAAAAAAAAAATTTTTTTTGCCCCAGCAATTATGTAAAAATTATCAGAAAAATTACTCACTCCAAGGTCACCTGAGCCACAGCGTCCATTGAACTGTATCCATTTTCCATGAAAATCTCTGTATACCGGCCCATTTTGATTGTTTCTAGCCATTCACCAACTGATCTGTAGGCTCCAGAGCCCAGTGAGCCATGCTCTGCCAATAAGTTAGATACTCTAAAATAAAGAAAATACACATATTAAAACATTTTAACTCTTTTATAAGGAATTGTATTTAATGTTAGCTCATAGTCAATGGATCTTTGGGTAATAAGTAAGTTTATAGGGGAAATATATATTAATGCTAACACTGAAGAAAATAACTCAAAGTACAATACACAAAACAAGTCTATTCAGATTTTTTTCTATCTATATATAGTTCATAGCTTCTTAATGACTCTTAATGGCTTAATAAGTAAATTTACTGTAACACAAAATATCAGCTAAAAGTTTCAAGTAGAGATTTAGGTGTATTTACTTCCTGGTATTGTTTATTGTTTGTAAACATAATAGAGAAAATGTCACTAAATATAGATAGGTGTGATAATTTGTGTAAAGCTAGTTGCTCCTGGACTTTGTTAGAGAAACTCATACTCATTTAAGCTAACTTCCAGAGAAGTCCAGAAGTTATTTATTGTTTATTTTATGCTCTTATGGAGGAGTATGTGTTAATAAACCTATGAGTAGCAGAACTTAGAAAACAAAATGTAACCCCAAATACATATGAAAACTGGAGTCGATCAAACCATGCGATGTTCTAAACCATAATAAACTCATACTTGTTGACCAACAGTAATAATAGTGATATGATGATGATGATAATTATTTCTGAAAATGTATCCTCAGGAAATAATATGGAAAAATGACAAAAAGTACATGAACACAATAAGACTAAACAATTTAAATGTCTGTCAGTGGGGATTTATAAGTAAATTTCAACCATAAGATATAAGACAAATACCTTTCTTTCTAATCATGTTCTCTTCACTGTCTCAAGTCCCACTTACACTTCAAACTGCTCCACTATAATTTATTCTAAATCAAATTGTATAAAAATTGCTCTGGTTGAGGTGAGCAATGACTCCTATTTTCCCAAAATTTGTGAACGTTTTCCAGTCTGTAAGATGACTGACCTCTCAGAAACATTGCACAACCACCACTACCTCCTCCCTCTTGAAATCCTATCTTATCCCAGTCTCTTCTGAATCGCTAAAATTCTCTCTTTCCTGGCTATCGTGACATTGAATGTACCTTGTCCTCACTCTGCTTTGCCTCTTACTCCTTCTTTTCCTGACTTTAAAATTTGGAGGGAACCAGGACTTGGTCCTATACCTTCTCTGCTCAAGCTATAATGCCATACCACTCTAGGCAATTTTACCCAATTTCATGCTTCAAAAGGCATTTATTTTTCTTCATTTATTATTTCCAGCCTAGGTCTCTCATATATTCATATGCCTACTTCATGACTTCATAATTCTCATAAGAATATCAGTCCAACATGTCAAAACCACACTCCTCACGTCTCACATTTAATTCCTTCTAAAGTCCTCTCCATTATGGTATATGGCACATCAGTATATGCCCTCCCAATCCTTAGTCTCCTCATAATCTATCATTGTGTATACCACCTACTTCTAGATACTATGTATTAATATATATATGTATATATATGTGTGTGTATGTGTATATATTTATATATATACTTCCAATATATTCCACATCTGATCACTTATCTCTCATCAACAACACTTTTCAAGACACTGTTATTTCTTACATGCACAAATTATCTAGCTTTCTGTGTATCCTCCTAAATTCTACTCCCATTCTTCACTCCAAAACCAAAGTGTTCTTCTAATGTTTTTGTTTTGTCCAATATATCTCTCTTTCAATAGTGTGTTGTTCAATGCTCTATACTCAGCACCTAACCCACAACATGACACAGAATAGACACATGAGTATTTGTTGTATTAATCAATGGGTATCTTATAGTGATTTGTAGTGGTCAAAGATTTGTTGTAGACAGAAATACAGGAGGAAACAGTTGGAGAATGGGTTCCTGAAATTGAAATTATGGAAGAGTTGAAATTTTTGAAAATAGAAAAGTCTAGAATATCATGATGAGGAGAGTCCACTGTAGGTTAAAGCCCAAAATCATTGAAGGAGAAAATTCCAAGGTATAGGGACATATTTGAACATCATGTACATGGTTACTGAAATCATCAAGTTTTGAGACGTGAGTAGGAAGAGAGAGAAAGAGACAATGATCAGAAACTAATACCTATAATCAGGATTTTTAGATGACTGAATAAAGGTGGGTAGCGGGCAGTATAGTCTTAAGGCAAATTTGTTTAAACAAAACTTAGCAAGCTGATTCTACATACTGCACATAAGGAAATATGAAAATTCTCTGGAGGTTTTCAACTGCTCTCAAGCTATAATAATGATGACGTTACACATTTTGTTATAACACAATTTAGAACCTAAAAATGTCTTTTTATGATTTCCTTTCCTACGTTCACTTGTGACAAATTAATATAATTCAGACAGTAGGTGAGAGAAATGATTAATATTTTGCATGATGGTAAACAACTTAAAAGCAGATATTTTGGGGATAACATAAGGAATAATCACTGAGAAGATGCACTATCCAGTTGCTACCACAGAAAGTTAATGATGCTTGAACAGAGTTTGAAGTTTCATTTCTCATTTGTACTTAAAAATGGCTTTTCACCTAGTGAACAAATGTTATGTTAGAATCATAGAACTGATTGTAACTTTATCAACAAATTGTTTCTCATTTAGCTTCTACTAATATGGGGCCAATTCAGTTACTGACATAATGCTTTTTCTTGTAAAAATAGACAATTGCCTCAGATACCGTGAAAACAACAATTTGATGAATTTTCTCAGAAACAACTGATTTATTTTTTGAGAGGATAATTCTTTAATATTTCAGGTTAAGGAGAAAAGTGCATTTTATAAATGTGCAACATTGTTTAAATGCATTCATATGCATTCAGAAAAGTAAAAAATAATGCTCATTTGCTCACACAAATTTTTCCACAGAATTACTCATTTATCAGTTTTAAGTTTTGTTCAGACTATGCTTTGAATGATTAGCCAAATATCTGTGTACAACTGTATAGAGCAAAGAATCCCTAAAGGATCTGTCAATGTTCATAAAATATAACAGGTCCTAAAAATCTATTCTAAAGAAATCAAAGAATAATTATTGCTCCATATCTCTGGTTCAAGATACATGAGTGCTTAACTGGTTTTCCTTTATGATCTTGTCACTTTTTTTCCCCATTTGCACCTATGTGGGATCCAAACCACATGAAAATGCATATATGTATTTGAGTGGGTTATTTTTGTGTTGTCTGAATTTGGCTACAATTAACACTTTTCTGAAAGTAACGTGTTTTCCTATTAGATTAGATACAAGTGACTTAAAACATAATTTAATCATTTACACTTTGTTGTAAGAGAGTAGCATTATGCAAAAACTATACTCAAATACGTTAGTGTCATGTAGATCCATAGTTTAACATGTGTACAAAGATGATTTAATTGATTTGGTATTTTTAATACAAATCTGAATTAGCTACATTCAGGAAAATCCCTCAGGTCTGGCCTGTACCTGCTTGACGCATTAACCAGGGTTTTCAAGCTACTTGGGTTACGAATCAGCTTGTCCAACATGTTGACTATTTCATCAAACTTGGGCCTGCTATTTCGGTCTTTCTGCCAGCAATCCAGCATTAATTGGTAGAGAGCAGCAGGACAGTCCATGGGGCTTGGCAGACGGTAGCCTTCCTCTACTGCTTTAATCACCTGGGTAAAGCAAAACAGAACCATTCCCAACACCACAAATTTAGTATAGAATAGCTTCAGTCATTTCCCACTATCCAACTTTCATTCTTTCTTATTCTTACTCATGACATAATAAATAGCACCATCATGTCTACAATCTATGTTTAGTTGCATTTGCAGCAAAGTAAAACAACATAAAGAAATAAAAATGCTATCACAATATAGACAGGCTTTCTTCACATATTATAAAATAAGTACTAATCATTTTTACCTAAAATCTTAATGATGAGTGATTTGTAAAATTAATTGTCACAAAAATAAACAGTTCATGTTTTATTTATCCTTGCATCCTGGAATCAAATAGAGATTAAATTTTCTAGTGATTTCTCTGAAAAGTTAATGTCTTTTTAATGAAAAATTATGTGCAGAACCACATTTCTTAAAGTAATAGAATTGCAATTTTACTTCAAAAGAGATTTTTGGATGCTAAATGATGGATAAGTCAAATGCTAAATTAGCATAACTGTCTCATGTATCATTTAATAATGACAAGGGTTGGCTGTTTATTATCATCTACTGATTTCTGCCAGAAATTTGGAATGACTGTCTAGTAGCTCAGGCATTACAAACATCACTGATTTTAAATATAACCACACATATGAGTATCAGTCTAATTGTGAGATTGCTTTATGAACAACAATCATAATGTTACTGCTGCTATCAAAATGTCTAAATCCAGGAAAGATTTGTTTGTGCTACTGAACATGATACACTCTCTGTCCAATTATTAAAACTCAAATATGTAAGTAATACCAAAAACCAATATTAATGAACATATTTCTCAAAATTCTATTATGAATACTTCCTTAACAGTTAAATTTAATTGCATCTTTTTGACATACACTTTAAATCTGGTTTGACAAATGGAAACAATATATATATTGATTAGAATAGGTAATTTTACAAAGCTAATTTCAAAAGTTTGGAAACAAACCAGTCTCTCAATAAAGGAAATGGCATCTGAACAAAAGCAGTGGCAGATGGAAAAATGAGATTGTAGATTTAAGGGACATTTATGACATGGAGTAGAGGAGAGAGGAGAGAAAGTATTTGAGATGAACCAAATTTAAGCCTATCACACTGGATGGTTATTGCTGTTAACTTTAGGTAAGAACATCTATGGGGGTAGAAATGTTGGCAGGCACCATCTGGGGCTTGTTTTATTTGAGGTGAGTGGAGAAAACCCAGATGGCAATTTGCAGGAATCTGGCTAAGGCATAGGAGATATTTATGCTGATAATATAAATGTGGGGGTCATCAGCACTTGATCACAGCTTGAAGTCAAGTGTAGCTTCCTGAGAAGCACCAATAGTTAAATACAGGCAGAGAGATAACAAGAACTCAAGGACTCTAAAAATAAATGGTCAGATATGTGAGTAACTATGAGCAAGATACCTGAGAGTGACCTACGACCTTAGTTAACTAAAAAATAGTATTAAAAAATTAAAACAAAAATGACAATAGAAAAATATTACAGTAAGCATAACATATGGTTAACCTAATCTATCAAAAATTCATGCATACTGAGAAATAAGACAACAGATAAATTAGAATTAGATACTAATGAAAAATTTACAAAAGAAAAAAATGTTAAATTAATTTTGAGAAAATATTTATCCTCATTGGTGGTCAAATAAATAGTAAAAGAATGAAAAGTACCATCTGGACTCATTTATTAATGGAAGTTCATAACATAAGACTCCCCATTGCTGATGATAGTGTTATTATCTTTAATAACATGTACCAAAATATAATGTTCTACTATAGTTTAAATAATGAAATATGTAAACAACTTAAAAGCAGATATTTTGGGGATAACATAAGGAATAATCACTGAGAAGATGCACTATCCAGTTGCTACCACAGAAAGTTAATGATGCTTGAACAGAGTTTGAAGTTTCATTTCTCATTTGTACTTAAAAATGGCTTTTCACCTAGTGAACAAATGTTATGTTAGAATCATAGAACTGATTGTAACTTTATCAACAAATTGTTTCTCATTTAGCTTCTACTAATATGGGGCCAATTCAGTTACTGACATAATGCTTTTTCTTGTAAAAATAGACAATTGCCTCAGATACCGTGAAAACAACAATTTGATGAATTTTCTCAGAAACAACTGATTTATTTTTTGAGAGGATAATTCTTTAATATTTCAGGTTAAGGAGAAAAGTGCATTTTATAAATGTGCAACATTGTTTAAATGCATTCATATGCATTCAGAAAAGTAAAAAATAATGCTCATTTGCTCACACAAATTTTTCCACAGAATTACTCATTTATCAGTTTTAAGTTTTGTTCAGACTATGCTTTGAATGATTAGCCAAATATCTGTGTACAACTGTATAGAGCAAAGAATCCCTAAAGGATCTGTCAATGTTCATAAAATATAACAGGTCCTAAAAATCTATTCTAAAGAAATCAAAGAATAATTATTGCTCCATATCTCTGGTTCAAGATACATGAGTGCTTAACTGGTTTTCCTTTATGATCTTGTCACTTTTTTTCCCCATTTGCACCTATGTGGGATCCAAACCACATGAAAATGCATATATGTATTTGAGTGGGTTATTTTTGTGTTGTCTGAATTTGGCTACAATTAACACTTTTCTGAAAGTAACGTGTTTTCCTATTAGATTAGATACAAGTGACTTAAAACATAATTTAATCATTTACACTTTGTTGTAAGAGAGTAGCATTATGCAAAAACTATACTCAAATACGTTAGTGTCATGTAGATCCATAGTTTAACATGTGTACAAAGATGATTTAATTGATTTGGTATTTTTAATACAAATCTGAATTAGCTACATTCAGGAAAATCCCTCAGGTCTGGCCTGTACCTGCTTGACGCATTAACCAGGGTTTTCAAGCTACTTGGGTTACGAATCAGCTTGTCCAACATGTTGACTATTTCATCAAACTTGGGCCTGCTATTTCGGTCTTTCTGCCAGCAATCCAGCATTAATTGGTAGAGAGCAGCAGGACAGTCCATGGGGCTTGGCAGACGGTAGCCTTCCTCTACTGCTTTAATCACCTGGGTAAAGCAAAACAGAACCATTCCCAACACCACAAATTTAGTATAGAATAGCTTCAGTCATTTCCCACTATCCAACTTTCATTCTTTCTTATTCTTACTCATGACATAATAAATAGCACCATCATGTCTACAATCTATGTTTAGTTGCATTTGCAGCAAAGTAAAACAACATAAAGAAATAAAAATGCTATCACAATATAGACAGGCTTTCTTCACATATTATAAAATAAGTACTAATCATTTTTACCTAAAATCTTAATGATGAGTGATTTGTAAAATTAATTGTCACAAAAATAAACAGTTCATGTTTTATTTATCCTTGCATCCTGGAATCAAATAGAGATTAAATTTTCTAGTGATTTCTCTGAAAAGTTAATGTCTTTTTAATGAAAAATTATGTGCAGAACCACATTTCTTAAAGTAATAGAATTGCAATTTTACTTCAAAAGAGATTTTTGGATGCTAAATGATGGATAAGTCAAATGCTAAATTAGCATAACTGTCTCATGTATCATTTAATAATGACAAGGGTTGGCTGTTTATTATCATCTACTGATTTCTGCCAGAAATTTGGAATGACTGTCTAGTAGCTCAGGCATTACAAACATCACTGATTTTAAATATAACCACACATATGAGTATCAGTCTAATTGTGAGATTGCTTTATGAACAACAATCATAATGTTACTGCTGCTATCAAAATGTCTAAATCCAGGAAAGATTTGTTTGTGCTACTGAACATGATACACTCTCTGTCCAATTATTAAAACTCAAATATGTAAGTAATACCAAAAACCAATATTAATGAACATATTTCTCAAAATTCTATTATGAATACTTCCTTAACAGTTAAATTTAATTGCATCTTTTTGACATACACTTTAAATCTGGTTTGACAAATGGGAACAATATATATATTGATTAGAATAGGTAATTTTACAAAGCTAATTTCAAAAGTTTGGAAACAAACCAGTCTCTCAATAAAGGAAATGGCATCTGAACAAAAGCAGTGGCAGATGGAAAAATGAGATTGTAGATTTAAGGGACATTTATGACATGGAGTAGAGGAGAGAGGAGAGAAAGTATTTGAGATGAACCAAATTTAAGCCTATCACACTGGATGGTTATTGCTGTTAACTTTAGGTAAGAACATCTATGGGGGTAGAAATGTTGGCAGGCACCATCTGGGGCTTGTTTTATTTGAGGTGAGTGGAGAAAACCCAGATGGCAATTTGCAGGAATCTGGCTAAGGCATAGGAGATATTTATGCTGATAATATAAATGTGGGGGTCATCAGCACTTGATCACAGCTTGAAGTCAAGTGTAGCTTCCTGAGAAGCACCAATAGTTAAATACAGGCAGAGAGATAACAAGAACTCAAGGACTCTAAAAATAAATGGTCAGATATGTGAGTAACTATGAGCAAGATACCTGAGAGTGACCTACGACCTTAGTTAACTAAAAAATAGTATTAAAAAATTAAAACAAAAATGACAATAGAAAAATATTACAGTAAGCATAACATATGGTTAACCTAATCTATCAAAAATTCATGCATACTGAGAAATAAGACAACAGATAAATTAGAATTAGATACTAATGAAAAATTTACAAAAGAAAAAAATGTTAAATTAATTTTGAGAAAATATTTATCCTCATTGGTGGTCAAATAAATAGTAAAAGAATGAAAAGTACCATCTGGACTCATTTATTAATGGAAGTTCATAACATAAGACTCCCCATTGCTGATGATAGTGTTATTATCTTTAATAACATGTACCAAAATATAATGTTCTACTATAGTTTAAATAATGAAATATTTCACTATGCATTGAGAATAGGGATTCCTATTTGCTTAAAACCTGATTTATTTCATAGGGAAGTTTTTCCCAAAACTGCTACCAATTAGCTCTATTTTTTTCTTTAGTTCCTTTTAAAAAATATTCTTTCTTCTGCTGAGAAGCTAGTCTTATAAGTGACTCTGAAATGAGTAAATTAAACCAACTCTTTAGTTTTAAGAGAACTTTATAAGGTATTTTATCTTATAAGTTATTTCCAGAATATGTTGCTTAATCAGTTTTATTTTCAGATAAATTTACATATAGAAATATAATACACTGTCTCTAGGTCTACTTAGGACATAGCCCAGGAAATTAGGCTATTGAATTTAATTTTGAATTTATCTTTAGAATTTATCTTTAAAATATATTTAAACTATAACTTTAGATTTTATATTTAGATACATTGAAATTTTTTTTCACTTTTAACTACTGTTTCCTTCATAGTTTTGGGGAGAAAATAATGGCATTAGTATTCTAGTGATTTGTGAAATGTTGGAGATCTATCAAAGTGCAACATAGGCTGTTCATTTTATTATTCAATTTATAATGTATAACCAAACAAATCATAATCTCGACTGACTTTCTTATTACTGATACATTTGTGAATGTAGATGTTTGAGATGCAAAAAAGAAAAGAAAAAAAGAAAAAGACAACTAGAGTTTTTCCAGACAGTCTGACATCAGTTCAGATGTGCTACATCTGAAATATTATTAGAAGCTGTGCATTTTCTTGGGTGTCATTCACTTTTGCTGCCCACAAAGTCTCAACCAGCATTATAAGCTTTGGGATGCTGGATCTGCAAACTTGGAATTCCACATATCCCCCAACCAGAGTATCCACTTCATAGTGAAGAATGTTGTGAATGTGTCACATACTCAGTCAAGTGCAGGTAAATATTTAACAACTGGCTCTCCTTGTGAATAAAACATACTGGAACTTTTTCTCATTGGTGTAGATACTCCATCCATGTCAACTGCAAGCCACCAATACAATCTCATTCAAGCAGAAATATCTGAAAATTCACCATATACATGCAAACAAGCTGGTTCCAGTCCCACTATACATAGTTCACCATCCAGAAGCAACAAGCCTCATGGAATATACCCAAAGACTTTAAAGGCCCAGCTGAAGCATGAACTCGGAGGCAACACTCTGAAAGCGGTGCCATTCTTCAGGATGCAGTGCACGTATTAAATCAGGGACTTCTGTGTTGTGCTTTGTTCCTAAGGACTCCTACCAGGGAATACAGCACGGGTTTGAAATAATAGTTATGGCTGCCACTAAGGCACTGGACTACTTGTGCCCAGGTACAAGCAGAAGAGAAGAAGGGTCATCATAACAGAAAAGGTGGGTTTATACTGAGCAGCAAGAGGCATCTGAGCTGCTTTCACACAGCTGGGCCAGAGGAAAATATGTGTGGAACCCAGGGGATACACTTAAGGTCTTATTTCTCATTTATAACAACCGTTGCCTGAAAATGCTTACCACCAAAAATGTAGGCTTGGTTCAGGCCACCACTTAAACCACCATTACCTGCCAAGTTGATTGATGAGGGGAATTCAGAATCGACAGTGGGAAGGGGAAATAGCTAAGGACCAGGCAAGGTTCTGAGATCAGGTGAAGCTAGAGAGGCTGCACTGCAACTCAAACTGCCTTTCTGAGTTGCCCTCAGGAAGAAAAGCCCACAGAACCATGGAACAGGTGGTCCCTGAATCTGTGTGGGGGAGTAGGTCTGTGCTGCAGAAGGGCTGGAACCCGGAAATTTGTCTCTCATATCTTTACCTGCTGGGATGGTAATTGACCAAAAACTCTGAATCCTTAACCCTCTGAAACCACACTAAGGCCATGCTTTGCACATGTTGCTCCCAGTCAATTATTGGACATAAAGCAGTGACCATAAGATAGGCTCACTCCTAGCATATGCCTGTGACAGGCAACATTGTCTTGAGGACTCCCTGGCAGCTGTGTCAGCCTCTCTCAGAACTGCGTTGCATTCTCAGGTGCACCAATCACACTTCCTTCATCTTTACTGTACCTGGAGTCACACCCATATGATTTCTTACAAATATTTCCCTTTAACGATACTAATGTGTATCTAATCCCCTTTTGGCACAGGTTTCTTAAAGGACCTAGACAAGCATAGGCATTATGTGATAGACACTATGAGGCAAACTGAACATTTATTATCTACATTCATTTTTCACCATATATTTGCAAAACAAGAATTTATACACATTTTACAGATAAAACACTCAAAATTCCAGAAGGTTAAGTAATCACCTGCATTTACAAAGCAAGAAGTAACAGTGGTAAGACCCACATTTAAGTGTCTCTGGCAAGCAAACCTGTGATCTTCCCTCTCCTGGTGTTGAGTCACACTGGTGGAATTAGAAATAGTTTCCTCCCAAGAAAATAAGATGGGAGAGATATGGATTGTATCCCACAGAATCAGACTTTTTACATCATAAAAAATCAGTGTCTGGAATTACAACGAGCTCTTCTGGAAGAGAGTGCATCCTGCATCGGAGATGTGAAAACGTAGGCTGGAAAACTGGGCAGCAGGAAGTTTGTTGAAGAACCTGAGCATCAGCTGTGCTTTTTGTTGCATGAAGTCCTAGCTGTGGTGGGAGTGACCGTGTCGCTAAGTATATTCGAATCTCACGTATATGCTCTTTTGTTCCCATGACCTAGGAAGCTCCCCTGAAGTGACTAGAGTTTATGAGTATATTTCTGGAAATAATCTCAGATACCATAGAAATAGCTCCAGATAAACCAATTATCTTGTGGTTCTTTCTATGATGACAAAGGCAATCCTTTTACTAGGATTTCTTTCCTGTTTCCAATAGTTACTAAAGATACGTTATTTCTTTTCCTTAGTCTACCAATCGTAGATCAGTAGAGTTTCAGAGATTAAAGAAATCTTAGAAATCCTCTATTCAAGTCCATTCTCTTTATAATCATTGAAACGGACTGAGAGTCTAGAATTCAAGACTACTGGCCTTTAGTTCAAGACTTTTGTTTTTGCTGTTGTTGTTTTTAAATAGGAAGGAATAGGAGTTTTGAACTGAAGTATTCATATTTCTTTATATATCACTTTTTCAAAGGGTAAGAATTACCACAAGTTACCAGTCCCTAAAATAATTACTTCCACCCAA